GTTTATTTTTAGGTGAGTGTCATAACGCCACATGACATTTTGGTTATAAGAAGATTGCAGCCAACTTGCTGCAGCAGTTCTGGTGGCCCACAATGATGAAAGACGCCTAGCTATACGTGGAGACTTGTCAAGTATATCAGAGGGACAAGCCACGTACGCAGGCCCCTCTTGGGCTTCTCAAGCCCCTTCCGATACAGGAAAGGCCCGGTGAGAGCCTGCCCATGGATTTCATGGACACGCTGGTCACTAGCAAGAGTGGTATGCGATAAGTCTTTGTCATTGTGGATAGATTTAGTAAGTATGGTTAGTCGCAATGCCCAAGACAGCCAGACGGAGTTCGTAATTAAGTTGTTCAAAAAACACTACGTCAGAGATTTTGCCTGCCAAAGTATATAGTTAGTGACCGGGATGTGCGATTTACGAGTGAATTGTGGAAAGCCGCAGCTGGAGAACAGGGGACACAGTTGCAGATGACTTCCGGGAACCACCCTAAGGCAAACGGGCAAGCAGACAAGTTGAACCGTGCTGTACAACACCTGCTGAGGCATTACATCAAGCCTAACCAGGTGGACTGGGATGAGAAACTTGCTCTCGTTGCCAGTCTGTACAACAATCCTGTGCACAACGCAACAGGGGTGAGCCCTAACAGTCTGCCACTGACCTTTAAGCCTAGATTCTACTACCTTAGAACCAGCCGACTGCTGCACCAGGGACCTTAGAATTCGCCTATCGATATGAACGTCTGATGCAGCGAGCCGTAGAACAGATGCATAGAGCACAGGCGGCGATGATAGAATTTGAGAACAAGCACCGCCACCCATCTACATTCCAGGTAGGGGACAGGGTCTGGGTCAAAGCCTTTGAACTGGGGCAGGAGCATGGGATGTCCTGCAAGCTCATGCCACAGTACTTCGGGCCATGGGAGGTTCTAGATGTTGTCGCGAATGATCCAGACGGGCCATCGTATGTAATTCGGATCACTGGTCACCTTCGCACCTACCCTGTCTTTCATGCCTCCAAGCTCGCACCTTTCAAGGAAACTGATGAGTTTCCCTCTCGTCGCTCAATGCTGCCCCGAACCATGGATGGAGAGGTCGACATCGACGACATCGTGGATCACAGAAAAATGCCGGTTCCAAAACCAACAGGCGGGGGCCATCCTCCGAAGCCGAAGCTGCAGTATCGTGTTTCGTTTCGACATCACATTGATGCAAAGGAGGACAGATGGTTTACACGGTAGGAACGGATGCAGACTGCTCCACAGGTTGTCGCTCAGTATGAGAAGTCACTGCAGAAAGGAAAGCACCAGATTGAATGATTGAATTTCTCAGAGGACTGTCGAAGTATGGAGGAGGGAATGCGAGGCTCAAGGCCTCCGTAAGCCCTATTGAGCCCTGTTTCAGCCAGAACGGCCGCCCTAAGTGAAGGTGGCCCTGACAAGGCACGAGAGGCCTACTTTTGGCTGGGTTGGACGCAACTGAGAAATTCAGGCAATTGGAAGCGCAGAAAGGCTAGCCTCGTAGAACATAGTCCAAACAAAAGCTGGTCCCTTTGATGTTCGAGGTCTACATTTGGAGATTGGCAGTTGGGACTGGGTGGAAAAAGGGCAGGGGGGGAGAGAGGAACTAGTCTGTAGCAGCAGTTATCTTGCGCCTCGTTCAGGGCAAAGAGGTTCTCTTTCTTTTTTCCAAACTCCTGCTTAGTCAATCCTCTGGATTCCAGAGTAATCAATGCTGGCAAGAGTCTCCCGCTCCTTTTTCCTGATGTACTCCGAATTTCTTCTGTATATGGGACGCTGGACCCGTTTTCGAGCAGGTGTTGCTCCCCACCAATAGATGGATCCTCTCCTCAGGTGCTAGTGGTGTCTGCTCTTACATGCACCACTATCACTGGAGGGGAGATATTTAAAAAAAAAAAATAATAAAATATAAAATAAAATAAATTCAGGCAGTTGCGCAGCGCTAGTTGGTTGAGGAGCCCAGGTCCTGCCTGCCTTTTTCCAAATGAATCTGAGGCAGTCCCTGGGTCAGACACGGGGCGTGGACTGAGCACGGGCCGCTGGCAGTTGGACACAGGTAACCACCCCAGGCCCTGCGTGTGATTCCCTGGTTCACGGTCTCAGCCACTTGGGGCCTACCGGAAACTTCTGGGCAGGGGCCCAGCACAGCCAGGCAGCTCACAGCAGGCAGGCCACTTTGATAAAAGAAAGTGCCTGCCTCTGCATGCGACATTCGGGTACTTGCTACTTGCTGCGCAATCACTGCTGCGCTACTGGCAGGCAAGAGCCCACGCGCTCACAGGCGAGCAGGGCACACGCGGGCAGCCATAGCCGAGCTGGCCTGCGAGATGCTGGATGGGGCGCGTGGTGGTCCTTGGGTGCACGTGGCATCTGTGTGGGGGATCGAGGTTGTGAGTGAAGCGTGAGACGTACCTGGTGCTTGAGGCGAACAGCATTGGCCGAGATCTGCTCGTATTTCGGGGAGCTGTTGAAGTCACCAGCGGCATTGTGGATAGGCTAGATAGGATCTGCCATTCGTAGTCTGGGCAACGACCGCCAGATAGGGAATCGACATTGGTTCATTGTTGATGATGATGATGAGACTATTCCAAAATTGTCACTTGTGAGCTTTTGCTGTGCTCTTATTTGGTGGAACTCGAGTTGCAATTCTGCTTTTGGTTCGAGGTCACAACTATCTGGTTTCATGTGTCTGATGCTGCTTGGTTTCTGGAATTCGCTATCGCTCATTTTCCTTGCATATGATAATATCATATTAATATGATATAAGTGCAAGACGAGTCAAATCCTTTCATAAGATTGCTGCACTAGAGTAAATATATATCATAATAACATGTGCCTTGCCAAACGTGTGTTGAGGGGGGCCTTTTTTGGGGGGGGATCAGGAAAGGGGGGCGTTATTGCATCCCATGGCCGTTGAACTAAAACAAAATGGAGAGGGGAGGGGGGGAGGGGGCGGTGGGGCAGAAGGGAGAAAAACAAAGAAGGTCATAGGCATGCTGACATCAGGAGTATCTTATCTTCCATGAATGCAGACATCAAACAGAGGAAAAAAACAAGTAATGTGGTGCAGGTAAAAGGGCCTTTACCCAATGTAGGCCTCAGGCCTTGTAAAAGTAAAGCAACATGGGCCTTGTAAAAGTAAAGCAGCCTGAAAGGGTATCTCGCCAGGGCTCAGAAACGTGAAAGCAGGTCAAAGGTCAAGACCTACGGGCACATCCAAAGCTAAAGCAAACAGCATTAAAAGGACTTACCTGTCCACCAACAGATGTGCATGTCATGTCTGTTCGGGTAAGGGTGTGTCTGTACGTGCAGACAGTGTACCTGTTCGTGCAAAGGAAAGTGTCTGTTTAGGCAGTAAAAGTGTTTGTTCGTCTAGTGTTGTGCCTGTCCGAAAGTAAAGTCAATAGGTAAAGTCCCAGTTCTGACCTAAGTCAAGGGGATAGTCCAGATCCAGACTTTCAAGATCAGGGCAAGGAGGATGTGCGACCCCGCCTCAGCTCGGGAAACTGAGCTCCGAGGAAGGTGAGGCGGCTCCACCTTCTACTCCGCCAGATACGGCCGCCTAGCTAGCGGCCTCCTGCACATCTGGGGAGGATGCGAATGTCGCAAGTCCTCGGTACACTTACGAGGACTATGCTGTCCACTTGGTTCCACCGCTGTACCAACCGCTCCACGGGGAACAGTCCACCGCATGCACGGTTTCATCACCCTCGACAACCGATTCGGCAGCTTCGCCGCAATCTATCGCCGGGGATTCGACGTCATGGTCAAGACTTGAAGAGCTCGACCCATTGACGTTCACGGACTTCCAGTGGATGCCCGTTCCCTTGACCGGACGATTGCCAAAACCGCATTGCAACATGCTTATGGCTCAATTGCGGGACTACTTGCACACTGCAATACCAGCTCCGTTGATGGACGCCGGAGCAGAGGTTGTCGACCTTCATGTTCACATCGCGAAGATCGACCACGAGTTCAAGACGCAACGGTACGACGACATCGACGCACCATTGCTATACATACGCATTCAGATCGGAGAGGCGACCTGCAGTGCCTTGATCGATTGCGGAGCATCTCGCAACTACATCAGCCAGGACTTCATGGTACGCGCCGGCCTTGGCCCACGTGTCCGGAGGAAGTCCCAGCCTAYGCAAGTCASTCTGGCAGACGGTCATACGCACAAGTCCATCGACCGGTGCATTGACGCCGTTCCAGTGTACTTTGCCCCTCACGCAAGTGAGGCGGTGTCCTTTGACATTCTGGACACCAAATTCGACATGATCTTGGGCATGTCATGGATGCGAAGCGAGGATCACCCGGTGAACTTCTTCTACCTCACTGTTCACGTTCGTGATCGGAACGGAGTATTAGTTCCATGCACGGTGCCTCTTCCTTATCCTTCGATCAGCTGCAACGTGGCATCCGCCGCAAGCATGCGAGCTTCCATCATCAGAGACGACATCGAGGAGATGGGGGTGTGTTTTCTCCACGCCCTCCCGCCACATGACGCTTCATCGACGGACTCACCTTCGGATCCACGCATCACCGAACTTCTCGACGCCTATAGCGACGTGTTCGAAGGCCCGCACGGAGTAGTACCGGTTTGACCCATCCGCCACGAGATCATCCTCGAGGACGGGGCCGTACCTCCGCGCGGTTGCATCTACCGAATGAGCGAGGAAGAGTTAAGTGTGCTTCGGGCACAACTCGACGACCTTCTGGAGAAAGGCTGGATTCGGCCTAGCTCATCGCCATACGGTGCTCATGTTCTCTTCGTCCGGAAGAAGAACAAGGACCTGCAGTTGTGCATCGATTATCGCAAGCTCAACGCGCAGACGATCAAGAACATCGGCCCTCTCCCACGCATCGACGACCTTCTCGAGCGATTGGGCGGCGCCCAGTTCTTCTCTAAGCTGGATCTCAAGTCAGGGTACCACCAACTCGAGATTCGCAAGGAGGATCGCTACAAGACCGCGTTCAAGACACGGTATGGGCATTTCGAATGGCTGGTCATGCCATTTGGCCTTACGAATGCCCCAGCCACTTTCCAAGTGGCTATGAAGACGGAGTTCCGACACATGCTGGATCGTTTCGTACTTATCGACCTCGACGACATTTTGGTTTACAGTCGGAGTCTGGACGAGCATGTGGAACACYTGCGCACCGTTTTGGAGCGGCTACGACAGGCCAAGTACAAAGCAAACCGCGACAAGTGCGAGTTCGCACAGCAGGAGCTGGAGTACTTGGGACACTATGTGACGYCGCAAGGCATCCGTCCGCTTGCGGACAAGATCGAGGCCCTTCGAGTATGGCCCGAGCCCACCAACACCACGAACGTTCGTTCATTCATGGGGTTGGCGAGCTACTATCAGCGATTCATCACTGGATACTCCAGGATTGCTGCACCTATGATGAGGTTACAGTCGCCAAAGGTGCCATTCGTACTCGATGACGACACACACCGGTCATTCCAAGCACTTAAGACGGCTATGCTCATGGCACCCGTCCTTAGCATCTATGACCCCACCCTGCCGACGCGAGTGACTACGGACGCTTCCGGCTATGGCATTGGGGCAGTCTTGGAACAGCACGACGGCGACGATTGGCACCCTGTGGAGTATTTCAGCCACAAAGTGCCTCCCATCAACTCGCTTGATGATGCAAGGAAGAAGGAGCTGCTCGCATTCGTGATGGCTCGCAAGCATTGGCGGCACTTCCTCCTTGGGCGGTGTAGGTTCACATGGGTCACAGACAACAATCCATTGACCTACTACAAGACGCAGGACATGGTGAGCAGCACGATCGGACAATGGATGTACTTCATCGACCAATTTGACTTCACACCGAAACATGTCCCCAGCCTCTCCAATCGCGCAGCAGATGCACTCTTGCGAAGACCTGATCTTTGCGCTATGTCACATCATGCCTTCGCATTCGACGAGGAGCTTCAGCGACACTTCATCCGGGCATATCAGTCTGATCCGGACTTCGACACGCTCTATGGACAGCTATCTTCGGATCACCCGCCGGCCAGCCATTACCGCATTGCCGACGGGTACTTGCTCCTCGCACTCGAGAGGCAAGGACTTACTATGTGTCCCATGCGACCGTCGTCTTCGGACTCGCCTCCTCGGCGAGTAACATGATTCACGACTCGCCGGCCATTTCGGAGTCAACCGCACTATTGCACGGCTTCAACGGGGATTCCGATGGCCTGACCTCATTACCGATGTCACTCGGTATTGCGACTCTTGCGAAGTTTGCCGACGCAGCAAGCCCCGCAACCGCAATCCCTACGGCGAGTTACACCCGATGCCTATCCCACGGGAACCCGGTCTCTCCATTGCCATGGACGTCACCGGTCGGTTCCCTCACGACCGGCTCGGGCACGGCGGCATCCTCACGATGGTGGATCGATTGAGTAAGTACGCGCGTTTTCTCCCTTGCAAGTACTACTCCACGGCTCCCGAGCTGGCACGCCTCCTGCACACTGGTTGGATTTGTGGCCAAGGTGTACCAGAAGACATTGTCAGCGACCGCGACACTCGTTTCATGTCGGCTTTTTGGACTGCTCTCATGCAGGAGTCCGGCACAACAATGAAACCAAGTTTGGCTCGACATCCTCAAACAGACGGGCAGACGGAGCGGGCACATCGAACCGCTCAAATGATGCTTCGTACGCTCATCCGTCCGGACCAGAAAGATTGGGTTGACCGCCTCCCCGACGTCGAGTTCGCCTACAACACTTTGGTGCATCCGGCGATCGGCGTGACTCCATTCGAGTTGCACCACGGTGGACGGAAAGGCCGGATCTTCGCAAACCTTCTCCTTCCTCGACCAGCCGACATTGACGCTGCTTGCTCTCCCGCTTCCGTCCGGAAGTACAGGGAATTGCTGACTCAAGCCCGCGCAAATATGCAAAAGGCTCAAGTCCGCATGCAGCAGCAAGCCAACAGGCGTCGCGTACCATGTCCCATCCGCGCCGGTGATCTAGTTTGGGTCTCCGCGGAAGAGTTTGCACCGGAACAGGATGTTTCACGCAAACTGCTTCCCCAAGTGGTTTGGACCTTCGTCTGTGACAGCAGCCGTGGGCGATGAGCCCAATGGCCCTTCATTTGTGATCAACATTCCAGAGCATCTGACGGTCCATCTGGTCTTCTACGCCTCGAAGCTGGCAAGATACACGCCAGCCAAGAGCGACGACTTTCCGGACCGACGATCGCAGGACCCTCCTTCTATGGATGGCCATCAGGAAGTTGACCGCGTCATCTCCGATCGCAAGTACGACAGCAAGTCGCGGCAGTATAAAGTCACATTCACAGCATGCGATCGCGACGACACTCGGTGGATATCAGGCGCAGATTTGAAAGCATCCGCACCGCTGATCTACGCGCATTATGAAAAGCGCAGGTTAGCTCAGGAAGCTTCACGACCAGCCCCTCCCACCCGGACTGTGGTCCCTCCCTCAGACAGACAGCTTCGCCCTTGCAGGTAAGCTTGGTTCTTCAAGGAGGGGGGAGGTGTGGCATACTGCGTAGCCACACGGGCCCTGCAGGGCCCGTCCCGGACATTCAGCCTAAAAGCCTAAAACTTAGGGCTTACAGGCCCCGTTCGTTTCAGCCTGGATGATGGAAAACGAGGGTCTGCAGGCCCTACGCCGTTTCAGCCTATTTCTGGGTCTTTTCAGACCCAGAGTTTTCAGCCTGAAACGGAGGGCCATTTTCAGGCCCTCATTGTTTCGACCTGCCCCTAAGACTGAGGCACGTAAACAGGGATGCGGAACAGGCCAGATATAGCTTATTCCTCACGAGTTTGAGCAGGAGCTGCAGCTGCAGCCCCTGCCTCCCTTGGCAGGCTCAGGAGGCACACCCGTAGTACATAGGAAGTTCCCATGCACTTCACAGGTAGGTAGTGTCAGTAGGCAGGGTAGTCTTCAGGATTCGGCCGCAGCACTCAGGAGGAGCGCTGCAGTAGTCTCCAGCGCTAAGTAGTAGTAGCGCTAGCTGTAGTCTTCGGCGCTGGGCGCCATAGCTGTAGCTGTAGTCTTCAGCGTTGGGCGCTGGTAGGTGGTAGATCGTAGAGTGGGAGAGAGATCGGCGGAGGCCAGTGTTACTTACCTATGGCGCCATCGCTCCAGCTCCATCTTCGTGGTACTTGCATCAAGGCGCCAACTTCACAGGTTAGTACTGGACACAGAGAGAGAGAGAGAGAGAGTTCTTCTTCTTCCTCTTCTAAGTCCACCTTCTCTTCTCACCCTCTCGCCACCTGACTTCTCAGACTACGACAGAGAGAGATAGAGTTGTGACTTGAGACTTGACGGCATTGGATCCTGACTTGACATTTGGGATTCAGACATTCCGACGAGGGACTATTTGGGCTTGTGTCGAAGACTTGGTGTTGACGACATTCCCATCTTCCCCTTCCTCTTCGTCTATCCCCTTCCTCTTCGTTTGTGTATGGTATGGGCTGGCGCTGTCTTCCTGTGTGAAGCGCCAGACCCCTTCACACCATGTAACGATGATGATGATGTATGTTCAGGGCTGCATTACAACATTGATTGTTCGGATCACTGGTATCTAAGTCTTCTGTATTGAAAGGTCGGTTCTTGTTCTGGTCTGCACGTTACAGTATGCAACAATTACTGTCTCCGAGCTGTACACAAAGATCACTTGGGCTGATCTCAAGGCAGCATGGCACACGCGGTTCCAAGTGGAACCCCCTGAGCTTCAGGCGATGGAAAAATTGCAAAAGTTGCATCAGAACGCCTTGTCAAGCACGGATTGGATCACCGAGTACCAACACCATCCACGCCAGACTTGCCGATCACCTTTACGGGCGTCAAACACTACTTCATCATGAGGTCGTGCTCGACATTGCAGAATGCATTGATGCAAGTCGCAAAGACACTCACCACAACTGAGCAATTATTTAACGAGGCCCTGCAGATTATAGTGACGAATACAGAAGCTTGCAATGCTGGTCGTTCGGCCTCTGCAGGCCTGGGCAGAGATCAGCATCTGCCGAAAGTTTCCATGGTCGCGGCAGCAATGCCGACCGATTCTTCAAACAAGGCTGCTGCATCTGACGAGGGAGAAAGATTAGCAGCCGCCCGGGATGGTGACCGCCCCGCCAAAGGTCGAGGACGTGGCAAATCGAAGGCAAACACCTCTTCAGTCCTTGGGTCCGAAACAGCAGCTCAAGACCCTTGGCTACATTATGGTCTCTCGGAGGGCGTCTACAAGATCCGGACGAGACACCATTATTGCTTGTGGTGCAACAGCGACTCACACGAAACCGCCGACTGTCCCACGAAAGCCAAGGGGAAATTCGTTTCGGGAACGTGAGCACCACCGAGAGTGATGCGACTGCACTCTCGACGCCTTCTGAACCGGTTGCTTCCTGAGCAACCTCCCTTAGTTCCGAGGCACATGCGGAAGTCGTAAGTCCTCTTCTTTATTCCTTTGGACTATGCTGCCTGGCTCGTTCCATCGCGGGGTCCCCTTGCTCAAGGACTAGGTGTGTGCACGGTTTCTTCTCCATTCGGTAGTGGTGACAATTTATCGTCTTCAAGTGGTTATTCAAGGGATTTGGCACGCGAGTTCAACATAGAGGTCTTGGACCAGTTGTCGCCCGAGGATCTTGCATGGCTTCCTCTCCTTTCCACGGGGCGCTTACCGGCACCACAATACGCATCACTATGCACTCATTTGCACACTTATTTGTCCTTCTATGCACCACTTGGATAGCACCACTTAAAGCCGCCTTGCTATCCACGGAGGTTTTATGCATCTACAACTCTCTTTTGTCGACCCGTGTCACTATCGATGCATCCCACTATGACATTGGTGCCGTCCTCGAGCAACACGATGGCGTGGACTGGCACCCGACTAAGTACTTTAGTAAGAAGGTGCCCGCCGTGCACTCCATTGATGACGCACAAAAGGAGTTGTTGGTCGTTGTACACGCGCTTAAGTGGTGGTGGCGCTTTTTTTTTTGTCGAAGTCAATTCCGATGGGTAACGAACAATAATCCTTTGGTCTTCTGCAAGACCCAAGACACGTTGAATAGTACCATCGCCCATTGAATGACTTTCATTGACCAATTTGACTTCTTTCCCGATCACATTCGGAAAAGATTAACTGTTTTGCGGACGCCCTTTCACGGTGCCAGAACCTTTGTACCGCGGTCTACTCGACGTTCGACGTCGACGACGACTTGCGAGACGGCTTCATCCGCGGCTACCAAGTCGACCGTGAGTTTCACGACAAGTATGCGAATTGCGCCTCCCCAAATCCGGCATCGTTGCTTGGATCCAAGAGGGCTATTTGCTAGTCCACTCACGAGGAAAGAATCTTCTTTAAGTCTCGAGTGATCCACACTTGCATACGCGGCTTCTTGGTGAGTTCCACGATGCTTCCGCCATCGGATGCTTTGGAGTCAATCGTACGATTGGCTGACTTTGCGAGCGCTTTTGGTGGCCCGGCCTTCTCGGCGATGTTACACGCTATTGCGAGTCATGCGAGGTTTGCCGACGTTGCAAATCCTGCAATCATCGTCCGTTCGACGAGTTGTGACCATTACCGGTCCCCTTCGGACGACGGGAAGCGATTGCCATGGACATCACCAGGCCGTTCCCCAAGCACAAGACCAGTGTGCACGGGATTCTCACGGTGGTCGATCGACTCGCCAAGTGCACCATGTTTTTGCCTTGTCGCTCTCACGCCAAGGCACCGGAGTTGGTCGAGGTTCTTTAAGCCGGTTGGATTCGTACCACATGTCTGACTTTTAGTTGGCTCTCATCAAACGATGGGGCTCATCTTTCAAGTTGAGTTAGGCTCACCACCCACAAACAGATGGCCAAATGGGGAGGGTGCATCAAACCGCACAGGTTCTTCTTCGCACTCTCATCCGTCCCGACCAAAAGGATTGGGTTGAGCGGCTGCCGGACGTCGAGTTGGCTTACAACTCGTCCATTCATCCCGGCTATCAGGATGTCGCCCTTCGAGTTCGAGCATGGCTCGCCGATCACATCGTCGTTGGACACTATCATTCCACAGACGACCGAGAGCGACGACCACCTCACCTTCATTCGACGGATGCAAGAGCTCCTTGTCATGACATGCGGCCAGATGTCGAACACGCAGCAATGCATGAGCCGTCAAGCCAATCGTCAGCGTCTTCCTTGTTTGTTCCTCGTCGGCGACCTTGTTTGGGTCTCCGCCGTGGAATTCAGCCTCGAACATAATATCTCTCCCAAGCTCCTTCTGAAGTGGATGGGTTCTTGGCGCATTGTGGCACCAGCTGGTGATGCACCCGAAGGACCATCATTTGTCATTCAGGTGCCTGCCCACTTGCCCGTCTACCCGGTGGCTCATTATTCAAAGTTGGCACTTTACATTTCGGCAGATCGCGACGGGTGGCGATCGCAAGACACACCCTCCATGGATGGTTTTCAGGAGGTTGGCGACATCATTTCTCAGTGGCACTACTGCACCAAGCCGACCGAGTACCTAGTACACTTTTCTTATTGTAGCCATAAGGCTGACCGTTGGTTGACCTGTGCGGAACTTCAGGCCACAGCCCCCGATGTCCTCCCACGTTACGAACGCAAACATCAAGGCAAGCCAGCACCTTCGGCTCCACGCTGTACTCAGATCCAGGTTCCACGATTGGAACGTCGGCTTCAACCCCGACCCAGCTTGACTTCATAACGAATGGGGGGTGTTACATGCTGAGCTACACGGGGCCCATTTTCGGGGGCCGACGGTTGTTGGGGGCCCCCAGGCCGCACACCCCTCAAACTCGCGCCCTGGAGGCCCACGACCGGCCTTAGGGACGCAGGTTTCGGTTTGAGGCAGCGTTCATTTTTTTCTTTTTTTATATATTTATTTATTTATTTAATTATTTGCTGTCCTATTTTTGTCTCTTCAGGCGTTGTTTCGGACTTGCAGTTCGTCCGAACACACCTTCCGTCTGTTCAGACAAAGGCCACGTTTTTGGCCTGTTACAGACATAGGCAGGCACTATTGGGCCAGGTCCGTTTTCGTCCAATAGCGGACGTCCCTGCGGCATCAGTAGGGAGGGTCTGGACGTCCGGTCGGGACCCAGACCCAGTAGGCCACGTTTGCCCAAAGTCCAGAGGCACACAGAGGCACACCCGCGAGGCCCAACTCTACTTATAGTTGGGCCACGCTTGGGCAAACACACAATTCGAGTAGCTCACTTCTTGGGTGACACGCTGCCGGAGCAACGCTACAGCGCTAAACTGGAGGTAGAGGTAGAGGTGTAGGTAGGGAGTGAGGAGGAGGCCATATCAGCATCAACGGAGATCCTACCTGGGCGCCATAGCTGGTATTCGCGTCAGCGCACCTGCAGCATAGAGGATACAAGCGGCGACAATTAGTACATGGCGGCAGTTACCTGCACGTGAGATAGCGAGGAGGACGACATTTTCTTCTTCTTCTTCTTCTTCTTCTTCTTCTTCTTCTTCTTCTTCTTCTTCTTCTTCTTCTTCTTCTTCTTCAGAGAGAGAGAGAGAGAGAGAGAGTCAGAGAGACGTTACAAGCATAGGTTACACGCAGAAGTTACGGGCAGCGGTTACCGGCAGAGCTTACATTGGGCATAAGCCCCAGAATCTGATTCGACATTTTTACAGCACGCATTGACTGGACATTTGGCAGGGAGACTATTTTTGGACTTCACTATCGCGATCTCAGTCTTCTCCCTCACCTCCATCTTCGTCTCGCCTCTCCCCCATCTCTTCATCCGTGGTATCTCCCCACGTGTGTGTGCAAGGAGGGACCTTTCATCCATGTATGTGGTCCCTCCTCGCTCTCTCACATGTGTGGTGTATAATGGGATGTCTCGTCAGTCTCTAATAGGTCAGGTCATATCTTTGTGTCTTGCGCTACTTTACATTGTGCTATTTTCAAATGTATCTGGATTTACATTGCTTGTTGATGCTTTGCTGACGCTGCATCGTCCATTCGAGTCATTTTCATCACTTTGCGGATCATTGGCTCAATATACATCGCTCAACTGAGCATGTATCACAGGGTTGCACATCCTCATGCTTGCCTGGAGAGCCAAATGCTCCTTCGAAAGGAAGGACCACCAATTTGGCCTGCAGCAGGCACAACATTCCATCGTGGAAGACATCAACACCGCGACCGACCAAGCCTGGAAGTCCATAAAGCGACATTACTTCGAAGAGAAAGACCCCCCTCGCCAGACAAGCTATCTGCGACTCCTACATACAAATATGGCAGGATTTGGCCTGCACCAGGCACAACAAGCCATCGTGGAAGACATCAGCATAGCGACCCACCAAGCCTGGAAGTCCATGAAGCGACATTACTTCGAAGAGAAAGACCCCCCTTGCTAAACAAGCTATCTGCAACTCGTACATACAAATTTGACAGGACCCGAAAGGAATGTTTTTGGTCTTGGACAATGATCTGAATATCATATGGAAACCATGGAGAAGCACGGAACCAACTTGGCAGAGAAAACCCTTCACTGATTTCCAGGTCCCCTATCTCCAACCTAACTTCGCCAGCCTCCTGAGCCAACTGCCACACCCCCCGCCACACCCGTCGCACCCGGCCCAGACAACACGAGGAACATACGAAGGTTGGAGTGACAGACAACAACCGCAATGGCACCAAGACCAGAGAAACAGATGTAATCTCACTGTCGCATGCCTTGCAGTTGCAACTATAAGAACCGACGCGTCCAAGGGAGCAGGGCCCTCAGACCACGAATGCAGCCCAGCGAAGGGATATTGCAATCGAGCAGTCTAACGATTCAAGGGCTTAAGGGTGCATGAGGTCGTGCGGCCAGCCACGAATGCTGACCACCTTCTCGTCACCGGGCGTCAATCCCTCCGCGAAAATCTTATGACCCAGTCATGATCCGGGTGCGGCCAAACTCGCACTTCTCCCAGTTAATCTTGAACTGGCGCTGCATCGTCCATTCGAGTCCTTTTCATCACTTTGCGGATCCTTGGCTCAATATACATCGCTCAGCAAAGCATGCATCACAGGGTTGCACCTCCTCATGCTTGCTTTGAGAGCCAGATGCTCCTTCGAAAGGAAGGACCACCAATTTGGCAGCAGGCACAACAAGCCATCATGGAAGACATCAGCACCGCGACCCACCAAACCTGGAAGTCCATGAAGCGACATGACTTCGAAGAGAAAGACCCCCCTTGCCAGACAAGCTATCTGCGACTCCTACGTACAAATATGGCAGGACCAGAAAGGAATGCTCGGTCGTGGACACTGTTCTGAACATCATATGGAAACCATGGAGGAGCACGGAACCAACTTGGAAGATAAAACCCTTCACTAATTTCCAGGCCCCCTATCTCCAACCTAACTTTGTCCGCCTCCCGAGCCAACTGCCACACCTCGCGCCACACCCGTCGCACCCGGCCCAGATAACACGAGGAGCATACGAAGGTTGGAGTGACAAACAACAACAACCGCAATGGCACCAAGACCAAAGAAACAGTTGTAGTCTCACTATCACATGCCCTGCAGTTGGAACTATCTCACTGTCGCATGCCCTGCAGTTGGAACTATGAAAACCGACGCGTCCAAGGGAGCAGGGCTCTCAGACCACGAATGCAGCCCAGCGAAGGGATACTGCAATTGAGCAGTCTAACGGTTCAAGGGCTTAAGGGTGCATGAGGCCGTGCCTCAAAGGTTTAGGAACTGACGGAGCACTGCTTAATGCGACCATGAGCTGCACCGCACCACATGTTGAGACTCAAGGGTTTGAACCGTAGGCAGACCCTGGTCTTCACATCGGTTGGACATAAGCCCTGTCCGCTGGTCGCACTCTTCAAGGCGCAGGACTGCATCACACACCTAGTGACGCACAAAATGGATTCGGATGTAGACACATATCTCTTCTCATCGATTTGCTTTTTGTTGCACTGCATCACATTGCATCACATTCCACCTCATTGCTGATCCTCACGATTCCTCAGGCTTCAAGGAACACGAAAGTGTTATGGATTGGTTTTAAGAGGGTATAGGGTTTAAGGGGTTTAAAGGGTTTAAAGGGACAGACATAGCAATAACGAACAAGGGGGCTGCTGAACAGGGCTGGGCTAATAGAAAATGGGCGCTCCAAGAAGGGATGGGCAGCTCCATGGGACAACGGAGCCCCGGGCTGATACAGAAATGACCACAGTCCTAGGAAACAATAAACAACAGTCTCTGTGGCTGTGGCAGACCCACCGGGTGAGGTGCTCCGCCTGGGATAGAGATGGAGATGGAGGATGAGGGTGGAGCAAGATGTTGTATACGGACCCTGGCTGGAGTATACCCTAGCGGACTGACTGGACCGGACTGGACTGGCTGGTACCGACAGAGGTACCGACCTGGACTGGACTAACCCGAATACAACACAGGCCTGTGAGAACAGGCCAAGGGGATGGTCTCACAGGCCAACCAGGGGTCCGCTACACGATCCTCGTCCTGTGATGGATCGCCTAGATACAAGCACGCTTCCGCCAAGAAGCGGAACTCTACCAAAGAAAAAGAAAACCCGAGTAGTCTAGGATGCGGAGCAAGCTCCATGCTGAGTTCATGCAATGCAACCTCGGCTAGAACATGTAGCAAAAACAGCAATGTCACAACTAACACCCTAAGTGAAAGCAGAAGCAACTAACTAGTATACACGTCCTAGGAAAGCAGAAAGTAATGACAACTAAATCCTAGAATGTTGGAGGCAGTAGCCTCAGTCTGGAAACAACTGACTAATGTATAAGTGCTAAGAACAACAAAATCAGATACAACTAAATCCTAGAAATGTTAGAGGCAGTAGCCTCAGTCTGAGAGCAACACAACAACAACAAGACAACCATATGTCACAGGAGGAGTGTGTCGCAAACCACAGCGTGGGATGGTCTCTGAGGGTGGCGAATGCAGCATAGGGGTCGATAAACTCCTGAGGGCATCCACACATAATGACAGGGAGACACATGTCATCAGGCTCAATGAGGGTAGGGAACTGGGAGCGAACAGAACCAGAGACCCTAACAAATAGACCATCAAGGCGGGTAATGCTCGACTAAAGGGGTGACCGCTATGGAGGGTCGACCATGCAAGGGAATAAGGGAGCGTGGTATACTGGGCGCACCGAGATGAAGCATGCAAGGCTGCCTAACTTGGGCCGGTGGAGGGTAGAAAAAGTGATGGGTAAGGGAATCATGCAAATGACTCCTAAGGTGGGGGAAGTCGGAGTTGGATCCGTAAGCTGGGAAGCTAGGGCAACGCTACTGTCCCGATGCCTATGCGTATACCAAGGGAGAGCCCAACTCAGAGGACCGGGCAAAGGGAGACCATCATGTGACACAACCAGGGTACTGTACATGCTAAGGTGGTAAGAGAGTGACGATGTCTAAAGTAGGCAGAGCTGATCGTGACGAAGGTCGTGAAGTTGTCGATGACGTTCATGATGAGAAGTCTGGAATGTCGTCGAGGAAGAGCCTCAACGTCGACAATCTGAAGTGGCAAAACTGGAGTGGATGGAATACTGAGAAGTCAAAGACGTGGGAAGATAAGTCGGAGTCAATCGTCGTATCGAGCAGGACGACGACGAGTGCACTGTCGACGCTCAGAAGTATCCGGCTGCTGCTAAAGATCTGCCTCAGATGGAGCAGGCTCGACTTCAGAGGTCTCCTCAGCCGAGGGAGAAGGGAGAGGCTCAGTAGGCTGAGGACGAGCAGTTAACCCAGCACGACGAGCACGGTCATAGGCACGCACCAACATGAGAGCATGTTGCAAGTGCTCGAGGTGCTCCCAGGTAGCCTCCTCATCAGGGTAACCCTTCCAACGTACGAGATACTCGACGTGAGGGTTGTCGTCAGTGACTCGGCGACCAATGATGTCTGAAACGAGGAACTCCTCGTGGCCGTCCACCATGACGGGTGGAGGGCGCTCGTATGGTCGTCCAACGAAACGCTCAAATGGTCTGTGGTAGGGACGCATTAACGAGACGTGGTAGACATCGTGCACACGAGCTTGGCGTAGGTAGTCGGGCAGCTTCACACGGAGGGCTAGAAGCCGTATCAGAACCGACGGCCTGGAGAATGCGGCATGGGCCAAAGACTCGACGCCGGAACTTGCGAAGCGTGTCCGCTTCGAGCTATAAGTGGTGGGCGTCGATAAGCACATCATCACCGATTTTGAATGGATGATCCATCCTCGATCGGTTCGCACATGTGGTCGTGCGAGCCTGGGAAGCGGCTATGTGCTCATGCGCGGTCTTCATGATCGACGTCATGTGTGCAACCCAATCATCCAGCGCGGGACAACTCATGTCGGGGTGCATCTGTGACGGTCGAAGGAAGTCCGTGGGAACATGAGGGTGATAGTTGAGGTCGCAATAGTAAGGCGACATCCCCGTGGCGGGCGAGACGGCGTGGTTCTAGGCTATCTCCGCGTGGGCAATATGGAGATCCCACTGCTGGTCGTCACGAACAATCTTTCGGAGAATATCTCCGAGAGTCCAGTTCGTGACCTCGGTCTGACCATCAGTCTGGGGATGGTAAGACGAGGAGAAGCGGAGCTGGGTGTCGTACACCTCGTGGAGTCGTCGCTAGAATCAGCTGGTAAAGCGCGGGTCACGGTCAGATATGATGCTCAGAGGTAAGTCATGGTCACGCACGACTCGGTCAAGCACGATGTCTGCGACCTCACGTGCACTAATGGCATAGCGGCACGAAACAAAGTGTGCGCGCTTCATGAAGCGGTCGACGACGACCAGGATAGCATCATTACCGCGGGGGTCGGAGGATGAAGAGGACCGATAAAGTCCATCGAGATGGATTGCCAACGACCCTCACGGATAGGAAGAGGCTGGAGCAAACCAAAAGGTATGTGCTTCGCACTGTTCAACTCCTGACAGGTGGGACACTCTGCGACGTAGTCCTTCACAAAGTCCTTGAGCTTCAGCCAAACGTACAGGCGGCTCACATGAGCCAATGTCTTGTGGAAGCCCATATGACCGACGGTTGCCTGGTCATGGAACTCTGCTACTGCCCGGACAAGTAGCTGTCCCGTGGAGGGAACACAAATACGGGGCTCTCTGGTGCCCTGTGAACCGTGCCAGTACACAAGACCGTTGTCCCCGAGAGAGTAGTTCGGGACGGGCTTGCCACTCCGAAGGGTCGCATGGATATCGCGGTAGTCGGGGCAGTGGCGGTACCAAGTGCGAAACTCGTCAGTCACCGAGTGGTGCACGGTGGTGACCGAGATGGCAGCGCGCTGGATCTGCTCCAGATTATGGTCAGGGCGTCGGGATAAGGCATCTGCGACCCGATTGGTCTCACCCTTGATGTGCTCAGTAGTGAAACTAAACTTGGATATGTCGCGCCACCAGCGTGCCTGTCGAGGAGTGAGCTTTGGCTTTGTCAGAAACACCTGGACAACAAAGTTGTCTGTACGCACGTGAATGGTGGCCCGTGCAGGTAGTGATGCCAGTGTGGAGTGGCCTAAACTACTGCGAGAACCTCACGTTCATCGGCGGTGTAGTTTATATCGGCGGGAAGGAGCTAACGGGAGTAGAAGGCTATCGGAGAGACTCGACAGTGCCGTCCTCGGCGATGGTAGGAGAATAATCAATAGAAGGCTCGTCAGTAGCTGGATGAGTAGGCATCAGGCGGGAAGCAGTGGTAGGGGAAGGGGGTGGGAAGCGAGGGATGAGAGGATGAGAGGAATCAGGAGAGGAGGGAAAAATCTAAGAAAGCACTGCTCCTACAGCAAAGTCTGACGCATCAATGGTAAGGATAAAAGGGCGATCAAAATTGGGTAGGTGAAGAACCGGTGCACATGTTATCGCCTTGTTGAGGGCGCGGAAGGCGTCCTCGTGGAGGGGTGTCCAAGCCCATGGCGGGTTCTACCGGAGGAGGGTGGAGGTGAGGACGTAAGAATACCTAGTGTATCCCGGGATGAAATTACTATAGTAGCTAGTGAGGCCTAGGAAGTTGCGAAGCTGCTTGGCGGATGTGGGGACGGGCCACTCCGCAATAGCAGTGATATTCGCGCCGTCCATGTGGAGACCCTGGTCACACACGCAGTGTCCTAAGAAATCCACTTTGTGTTGGGCAAAGCGGCACTTGCTCAGCTTGGCGTAGAAGCTTTGTCTTCTCAAGCGGTCAAGGACGTCGCGGAGATGTCTGAGATGCTCCTCAAGGAAACGACTGTAGACCAGGATATCGTCAAGGTAGACGAGAACGTACTGCTCCAGGATGTCCCTGAAGATGTCGTTCATCGCCCACTAGAAGGTAGCGGGTGCGTTGTTGAGGCCGAATGACATCACCGTAAACTCGTAGTGGCCGAAGCGCGATCGGAACGCTGTCTTCGGCTGGTCCGCTGCAGCGACGCGGATCTGATGGTAACCGCTACGAAGATCAATCTTTGTAAAGAAGCGGTTGCCAGCTGGGCAGTCGAATAACTCGTCGAAACGAGGCATGGGGTAGCTGTTCTTAACCGTGTAGCGATTGAGGCCACGATAGTTGATGCAGAGACGGAGAGTTCCATTTGCTTTGCGAGCAAGGAGGACGGGTGCACCCCACGGGGAGTTGCTGGGCTTAATAAAACCCAGTCTCAGGAGCTCCTCAAGCTAACGCTTGAGTTCGGTGGCCTCAGGGATCGAGAGTCTGTAGGGTGCGGGTGGTGAACACGATAGTTAGGCACCAGCTGGATGGAGTGTTTGACGTCGTGCATCGGTGGGAGGCCGACATACGAGAACGACGATGGCAAAACGTCGTGGTAGTCTCGAATGAGGTCACGAACTGCGGTCTCCAGGTCAGACGTATAGCGCGCGAGTTCCTCAGCGTCAGCGTCAGCGAGCGACGACGGGGTGGACTCGACGGACGGCGGAGGGAGGGAAGTAGAGATGGGAGCCATGAAGATAGAAGGAGGATCTGGCTCCAGATAGATGAGCTCGGCGTCTGGATAGGGTGGATCATAGTGCAAGAGATCTGTCACGTTCACTGTAAAGAAGGTGACGTCGTCCTGTTGGATGAAGTGAGCGAATTGCCGAGGCGAGGTGACAATGATAGCAGGAGATGGTGTGGGCACGGAAGGCTCCGGGGGAGGAGGGTTGCGGCGTGGTGTCGCAGTGGTACCTATGAAAGGTACGCGATACGTTTGTCCACACTTCGTTTTGAGAACGAGCGTGTTGGTCGCCCAATCGGCCTCCGTGCTGCGGAACCGACGAGACCACAGAGTACCGAGAATGAAGTCGTACCCCGTCTCCATCACATCGAAATGTGCAGAGGAGCGGTGGCGACGAGACGTCGGGGGACGATCAGTCGGCTCGAGAGTGAGGAAGAAGGGAGGTCGGTGATCGTCTGATCGAAGAAGTGCTGGGTCTTGTCATGCCCTAGGGTGACAGAGATGGGAGTCGGAGACCCTGCCATGGGTAAGTAGGCTTCCTTCACCACACGTGGGTGAATGAAATCGCCCTGAGAGCCGAAATCCCACAGCGATGAGTACACCCTCGTGGAGGTCCCTAGTCGTACTTGAATGATCGGGAGGGTGTGATCAGGGTCAGAGAGGATGGTGAGAAGGCGACGCAGTGCAACGACATGGAGGGTGAGTCGCTCCTGACGAGCCTGGAGCATGCTCAAGTCTAGAAGAGAGGACACAACGTCCTCGCGAGTCGCAAATTGCTCGCTGCAACAGGCTGAGTGAATGGCTCGACGCGTCGGTAGTCGTGGAGGGGTAGGAGGGGAGACGGTGGTCTGCGAAGGCGAAGACGGTATTGCGATAGAGGACTGAGTACACTCTGCTGGGTCCTGCGATACCTCAGCTCCAGTAGCGAGAGGGGCGAACTGTGAAGGAGATGTCGGGAAGCCATCTATGGAGGAGGGCACAACTGTATACTGCACCGTGGCTAGGAGGCGCCGGGGGGATGCAAGACGCCCGGGGGGGACTGAGCACAACGCTGGCGGGAAAGGTCGGCGTAGTGGCGGTCGAGGGCGGAGGTGTAAGGGCTCCGCGAGGAGGTATGACCGTCCTGGCGGCAGCGCAAACACCCACGCCAGCCCAAAATGGCCGCTCGCTCCTCAGTGGAAAGGACATCGTGAGGAGGGACAAAGCCCTGAGGGAGGTCCTGCTGAGGGACCTCGGGGGGCGACGAGCCAGCGTGACCGGAGCGGTTGCGTGCCCGGGAAAGGGCGGAGAAGATGAGCTGGAGGCTCTCAGCCATAGGGTGAGTAGAGTCCTCCAGGTGGTAGAGGACAGCCTCGCCGAGGTCGAGGTCGTCGCTATGGTCACCCTCCGGCGACAGCGGGGCAACAACGTCCTGCTCACCATACTCGAGCGAGCTGAGGCGGCGCGAGAAGTGGCGGCCCTGCTGCGCGGAACGGCGGGGACGGCTGTGGAAAGGGGAGCAGCACTGGGAAGTGCCGTGAGAGGAGGAGGGGGTGTAGCGAGTACGCTGAGGCTGGGAGGAGGAAGCGGGGTGAAGACGGGCCCGCATCCGCTGATGGGTCTTGGCGACCTCATAGGCCTCCGGGGCCGATGTGAACTCGTACCGCCATAACTCGGAGCGGTACTCAAGGGGAAGGTTGGCCAAGAAACGATCGATGAGGGCAGTCTCGGGGAGGAACACCACATCACAAATGAGGCGGGCGTCCTGAAAGATCTGGATGTGGCGGACCAGGCCGGCAGCGCCACCAGATGTGCTGACGACACGCTCGAAGGCGTCAGTGACGTCATGTCGGGTTCCAATGCGGTCCTCGAGGAACGCTTGAAAATCCATGAAGGTCGGGGTCCGACCCTCACGAAAAGAGTGCGCGTAGAAATTCTCCCAGGCATCGAAGGGACCACCAGGCAGGCGCGTGGAGAGGTGACCCACCCACGTGTCGAGTAGGGCGCCCATGAGTTGGAGCATGCGATTGGCAGACTGCAGCCATCGAGACACGCGTATCCTTGTACTGTCGTACAAGGCAATGTCCACCAAGCGGACGAGTGGTGCGCCACCGTTTTGGCGGCGAGGGGATCGAGGAGGAGAGGTTTCTGCTATGGCTGAGTAAGTCGGCGTAGGTCCTGGAGAAAGGGGCGCAGCTGACTGCACGCCCGAGCCGCATGGGGGAGCGGCGGGGCCAACCTCGGCAGGCTGCGAGAGAGATGCGGTAGAAGAGGTCGCAGCAACCGAGGGAATAGGAAGAAGGTAGGATGGGGCTGGATAGGGTGCAAGGCGAGGGAAGCGAGCGTGCATGGAAGGACGAGTAGAGGAGGAAGGGGGTGCGCCTGAAGGTGCGGCCACCTGTGAGGGTAGGGGCGGCTGAAGGCGTAAGAGAGTGAGGTCGGCCCGGGTCTGGGCAAGCTCGTCCTCGAGACGTTGAACGCAGATCGAGCAAGCAGTGGCAGGAGGAAGAGTGGGGGAAGTGGACGCACGAGCGGCGCGGGGCATCCCACAGGGGGGAGAGCCAGGTGGCGCTGGGGTCGTGCGAAGGGGAGGGAGAAGCGGGGAACCCAGAAAAGTTGAGACCATGGCAGCGGGTTGTGGTCCCGTGGTCGTAGTGACCAGAATCTGGGCTGGTGCGCCCGTAGAGTGAGGGAGGGTCTGGCCCGTGGCGGCTGGCGCGCTAGGAGCGTGGACGGTCACCAGGATGGTCGGGTCGGGGGCGGCAAAGGAGGAAGCTCCGCCGTGGCCACCATGTCGGAGGACGGGGGACCCAGACTGGGAGCCAGGAGAAGAGAGAGAGTGAGGAGAGGAAGGACGGCCAGCGTCCTAGAGTTGCTGCAGGTCAGCGATAAGAGTCGCCACTTGCGCATGTAAGGGCGCAAGGATGGAGGTAATGAGGGTGTGCAGATCCCCTTGGGGTTGATGACCCTGGTCTGTCGGCACGGGTGTGGAGCCCGATGCCAAGGTCGTCGTCGCCTCGACGTCTTGGGACACGCCGTCGGCCATGGGGAGGTAACGGGCCGGACTAGAGAGGGTCGGGGGAGGTCCGCGTGAGCGGAGGGCGTAGGGGGAGGTCTGCGATAGAAGGCGACAAGCGGCGCTAGTAAATCGAGCACGAGCACCATCAAAGGGGGAGGGGTGGTTCGGATCCAGGGTGCCCGAGTGGAAAGGGGGAGTAGGAGAGGGTTTAGGAAAACCCTAAACCCTAGAAAAACCCTAAGGAAACCCTAACCGGAGTTTGAGTGGTTAGGGTAGGGTATCGGTGACCTAATCAAGAAAATAAAATAGTAAGAATGGGGGAGGCGGGAGAAAAATAAATAAACAGTGAAATTTCAAGAGAAAAAAAAAAAAAAAAAAAAAAAAAAAGGAAACAAAATGTGAGGAGAAAAATAATATTTATTTTTTTGGAATTTTCGGCAACATTTCCCTACCCCCCATGGGGTCAAGAATGTGCCAAGGGAAAGGAGAGACCAAGATAAGCACACTAAGTTTCAAAATGCCAAAAATTAAAAATTTCAGGAAATAAATAAAGAAATAAGAAAGAGATGAATAAATAAATAAGTAGATGAGCTGGTGGAGAGAAATGAAGTGTCCGATTTTTCAAAAAATTTGGCAGCATTTCGTTACCCCCATGAGGTCGAAGTGTGCCGTCAAGAAGAAAGGCCAAGTAAAATGAGGAGATTCTGCCAGCACTGCGCTACCCCCAAGGGGTGAAAATGTGCTGAAAAGACTAAGTGCAAGAAAAACAGAAAATTTTGGCAGCACTTCGTTACCCCTGCGGGGTCGGAATGTATGCCAAAAGCAAGAATGACCAACTCCTAATCAGATTTAAGGGTGTTGCAAGGAAATTCAAATTTTCAGAATAAAATATAAATAAAATAAATAAATCAGAAAAGAAGAAAAGAAAGTGGGGGATAAGATAATTCAGATTTTTGAAAAAAGAGGAAAGATAAATCAAAAGAAAGATAGAAAGAAGAAAAAAAAAACAGAAAATTTTTGAAGTAGGGGGGAAGGGGGATAAAAAAAAGAAGGAGAAAATAGAGAAATAGGTGGGAGAGAGAAAAAGAGTGAAGGGGGAGATGAGGGAAGTGATGGGTTGTAGTTAGGGGAGAGGAGGGTGAGAGAATGGGAGAGAAAGGGATGGGAAGGGTGGGGAGGGATCAAGAAGCAAAAACAAAAGCGGAGAGAAAAGAAAATAAATGAATGAAGTAGAGTAAAATAGTGGGTGGTGAGAGTGATTAGAAGGAAGTGAGTGAGGCAGAAGAGGAAGAAGTAGAGGGGGTTAGTAAGAGGAGAGAGAAAAGGTAGGGAAAGTGGGTTAGTAGGGAGAGGGAAGAAAGTGGGATGATACCTAGCCCTTGGTGTCTCAAGGGCACAAGGTATACCAAGACCAGGAGGGTCTTGGCCTTCGCTGCCACAAGCCAACTGGAGGAGAGAGGGGGCTGAGATCTTGATCAGCCCCTAGCAGCAGTACTGCAGATCTGCAGATCCAGGGTATGTTGTGTGAGCAGACCCTCACCAGTGTAGAGCAGCCCCCTGATCAGGGGGGTCTTCAGTTCCACAGCAAGCTGCCACGTGGCACTGTAGATGGCCACGTGCGCAGGCAGCAACAGCCACGGTGGGGGTGTGGGGGGGGCAAATAGCAGCCCGGCCGCTGCTCGCCGGCGGGGGGGTGGGGAGGGGGGGTAAATAGCTGGCATGCACCTCTTCAACAGTAGTGTGCCGCATTACCAAGCCATATGTACACTATGGCAAGTGTGTTATGGAAG